AATCCAAAAGCATCAGCTAAAAGCAGTTATGAAAGTAATATATCTGAAATTGTTTTGGAACAAAACACAGGAAGACATTTTCATATGCCATAACTAGGTTATTGCCAAAGGGATCTGTAGAATTGCAAATTTAATTCCATATAGATAAAGGGGAACTACTGTTGTGGGAATTAAGTCTCATCAACTTGCGTTAGTTAAAAAAGTTTTTAAAAAACAATTTGAACTAAATAAGATGTGGACAATCTGCATAGTGCTGAATTTTCTCTGACTAAGCTTGAAATAACTCCTTCCTGCCACTAGAGATCATTGTTGCTCTTTGTAAAAGTGACCAGACTTAGCTGTTGGTCTCTAGCATGTATCCAGAGTTGCAGTCCTTCACTTCACAGAAGAATTCACCTCCTAATATGATGATGATGACTTCCAGCTTCTTTCTGTAAACAGATCAGGGTAATGTTGTAGTAACTGGAGCCTGAGATATTTCAACCCCAATACGAACATATCCCTGGTGTCAGTGCTTGACTTCGAATGTCAGGGATTAATTTGATGGCTAGTTTTCATGCTAGGGTTAATCTATCTCTAGACAAAGGATTAAATTGTAAAGTTAACATAAAATATAAATTTAAAAATATTCTCTCTGGTTCTATGGTCCCTGGATTTCCCCTTCAGCATCACTGATAAGAAATCTTTATGTACTATAAATTGTCTAGCAGTTTTTGTACTCCTCAGAACGGTATCAGTGGACATACTGCCCCTCGCTGTAGTGTTTTAATGATTAAGGCCTTGATCTAAAGCCTATTAAAGTCAATGGAAAAACTCTCATTGATCTCAATGAGCATTAGAATCAAGCCCTAAGTATTCCACGTAACATATACTGCATCACATCTAACATTATAGTGAAAGTATAATACTACAATAGAGCAGAGAGATTTACCCTTGCTTTATCCCCAATTTCTGTGAGGGCAAAAAAGGGGAAAAGGTCCTGAAGTGGCTGAAAGTTTCTGGAAGGGAAGCTTCCCCTGCCATGCCTCAGAGTAACTGAGGGTGAAATCCTGGCCCCATTGAGAGTGGTAGAGCTGGGCAGGAAACGATTTTTCCATCCCATGAATATTTTCAAAACATGATTTTTTTTCCCATCCTGAATTGTGATGAAAACTTGAAATATTAAAGAAAAAAATTATGAACCAAAATCCAATTATGTGTTGTTTGTTTGGATCAATACAAATGTTTTTGTTTTGATAATTTTGAAATGTTTCAGTTCAAGTTTGACCAGTTTTTATATTTATTTTATTCTAATTGGCACTGGAGTTGCTATATACAAACCTACGTTAGGACCCAGACCAGCACAGAACTTAGGTATTTCCATAACTTTACGCATGTGAGTCGAACCTTCAAGTGCTTTGTTGGATCTGCTACGTAATCCTGTGAGCATGCCCAGTGTGAACTAGCTGTTTCTAGAGTCTTCAGCTAACTAGGGTACTCATGCAGTTAATAAAAGCACTGGGTCTTTTCTTTTGCAAATCTAACTCCCAGGCACCTATGACACATTACAGATAAAGATGCTATAATTGTAGACACTAGACACTTTGTAGGTGAGTGAACTGAAATACAGACTTGCACAAGGTCACATAGCAAGTCAGTGGGTGGCTGAGCTGAAAAGAGAACCCAGGAGTCCTGACATTTAATCCCCTGCTCTACCCACAGGACCACACATCCTGCTAAATGCAACTTTCAGTTAGAAGTAGTTTCTCCCCTCAACGCACTGATTTCTGCAAAGCTCTGAATGCATCATCAAACTTTCCTTCCTTTTAATAAAAAAATTATTTTTTCACTTCTTTTGAATTCAGTGCTTATTTTTCCCCTTTAGTTTTTGTGAACAATGTAACTCACATCCAAGAACTGAGAGTTTTTTGGGAAAGCAAACTCAGTGTTCTGAATCTACATTTCTTCCAGAATAATTATAATTTCTCAGTTTATATTCTTCTAGTAGAGGCAACAAGTTGTATCATACTAGAAAACTGGACTTTTTTGTTAAGAGAATGGCTAAATAAATGACTATTTCCCATTAAAAAGTTTGGTTTTGACAAATTCATTTTTCATTTAAAATATTCCTGACAGGTCTAGTCAATGGCAAAACTGTCTTTGACTTCAGGAGGGCCAGAATTACACCCTATTCATGGTTGTAATCCAGGGGTCGGCAACCTCTGACACACGGCTCACCAGGGTAAGCACCCTGGCGGGCCAGGCCAGTTTGTTTTCCTGCCATGTCGCCAGGTTCAGCTGATCGCTGCTCCCACTGGCTATGGTTCGCTGTCCCAGGCCAATGGGGGAGGTGGGAAGCCGTGGCCAGCACATCCCTCGGCTCGTGCCGCTTGATTGTTGGAGGAGTACCTGGGAAGTCTATACCACCAATAAATCTCAGTTAAGTGTCTTCATAGGAATGAATGGACCATTCCTCTTGTCCATGTCATTCTACAACAGCAGGATTGGGAGACAGTCTTCAGTCTTGCTATTGGTTCTTTTACATTTTGGTCTGAGATGACACAGAATCCAGTAGTTGTGTGAATGTCTTATCATTTTGAACCAAGTCCACTGGAAAGGTTCACTGAAACACATAAACTTAATTTGGCAATGCTCACATGGTTCTGACTATGCCACGCTATACAAGCAATGAAGAAAAAAAAAATAACTCTCCTCAAAAGAGCTTAATCCTTAATTCATGCACATCCAAAAAAATAAACATGAAAACAGCAAAAGGATTCACAGAAAACCAACCAAGGATTGATATAATTAGGAATGTGCTGCAAAACAAAAAGCAGAGAGAGGGAATTTTACAACATAACATACCTAAACAAAGGGAAAAATGCAAATACGTGCAAACAACTTCATATTCAACTATATATTAAAATAATCCCACCTGTATAATTGACATGACAGAATATATTAACTTCTGGAGTATTAAAGACTTTTAATTTGGAACCCTTTTGGAGATATGTTATTTACTTTAACGTTTGTGTTACTTTGTAGTTTTTTTCCATCTATTTTCCTTATCTTCTGTGAATTTTTCCTCCTGAGATGAATTTCCAATTGCTTTTTCTATCATACATTTAGTACTTTACTTTTATTCTAAAGATTTTGATAAGTAGTTGCTATTCTTAAGCACTTTAAAAATAATTTTTCTCTTTTCAAAATTGAAATTACAACTCTAAGATCATCTAATCATAGGGTTGGAAAGGGAAGTCAGGGGTCATCTAGTCTAACCCATATCATAGTCTATGCACATCATAGCAAAGTGTTGCCAGATAATCTTTCTTGTGGGAGAGAAGAGAATGAATTAATTAAAAATAGCTGCCACACTATAGTTGGTGCAAGACCTCAGTCTTCCTTTCGTGTCCTTCCATCACATTCATAGATTTTTCCAGTGTTGGGCATAGAATGTAGCTTGTCTGTAGCCCTGGCAAGATCTTCATGGTCTTCCAGAAGCCAGCAGACCAATTCATATTCCATGGCTTGTGTTTCAGCACAGTCACAAATCTGAGGGATTGGAATAGCCCCACTTCTGCATATTGCCTTTTGCCCTGCCAACTCTTATTTGGGGATGATTTAAATTTCTCCACACCTGCAGGAAGATGTTCAGCAACATTAGTCTGCATTTTGATGCCCTCATTGACTATTTCTAGCCGTGTGTACCATACTTCCAGTTGTGTGGCTATTGGTGATTTTTTAAGCAATTCATTCCAGATAGGAAGCATTTCCTTGATTTCAAGTGACTGACTGCCACAGAGTGTCCATGTAGCAGATGTCTGGTATCTTCTGCCTATCATAAACATTACATTTTTTTATGATCAATCTCTTGATATCTGGTGGAGCGATTCTGTCAAGCACTTAAAGGCTGTTCATATATGTTGATTTTAGATTCTCTGTGATATAGTGGCAGCTGTCATTCATCTCAGGGTCCAGCTTCTTTGTGTGAGCCAATCTTTTCCACCCTGGCTATGCATATTTGGCTGTCAAAGAGCAAAGTGCAAGTGGGGTGGCTCTTAGCGTTCCTCGATTGAGTCCCCATTTTGAATTTGCAAGCTTCCTGAGAATGTTGTTCCGATTTCGAAGGTGGAAGATACTTGCATTTTTGCTGGGATGGTGCACAACTGGTTCTTGGTGTAGTAGATTGAGAGCCAAGACAACGTCTATGTTAATATATCTTCAGTCTGGGTAAGATCCTTGGCTTGGGCAGAAACACTTAGGTCGTCAGTATAAATAAAACTACTTGTGCTGAGATATATCAGTTGTTTATTCATGTACAAGTATTGGCAAGAGTATGCTCCCTTGTGGTAGGCTGTTTTCTGTTGCCACCATTGGCTCCACTTCCCACATAGTTCTACGTAAAATGTCAGTTCTCTAGTAGATATTCTGTCAATACTGCAAAGTGGTGATCTTTTGTCATGTTGTATATTTTACTGAGTACTTTGGTGATTCACTGTATGGCATGCTGCTGATAGGTCAACAAACATGGTGCCTTTTACCATATTCTTTTCAAAGCCATCTTTGATGTATTGAGTGATGTTCAGCACTTCACTGGTGCATGACTTGCCTGAGTGGAATCCAGTTTGCTCTGGGATTAGGTACTTATCAGTGAGTTACAACAGGTGGTTTAGGATGAGAAGCTCCTGCAGTTTGTAGTGGTGCCAGAGTAGTGACATAGGCTTGAAGTTCTTCAGCTCTGTTGCATTCTTCCCTGGCTTCAGGAGTGCCACAACACATGCTAGTCATCAGATCTTGGATACTTTGTATATGGCTGAGTATGTGTTAAACAAGTCAAGTAACCAATTCTTTATTACCTGTCTGACGGTTTTGACTTGTTCAGTACAAATATTATCTAGATCGGTGTCTTTGCCATTATTGAGGGCATTAATTTCTGGAGGTTAATTTGGTCATTGTGCACCAAAATAAGAAGTCTCCTGTTCTTCTCGATGCTTTATCTGTATCTCGGGGTATTTGTTCAGTGCCCTGCCATTTTCCAGAAATTAGTGGGCGACCTGGTCTGCGGTAATGCTGAAGTGTTGCTCTGCCTTCCTTGGGTTTTTCATAGTCATTCATGTTTTCTTAGTGCTGTGGGTCATGTCCACACTCTTAGTGAAATTATACCATGACTTATTGTTTTCCTTCTTTATTGCCGAGACCAGTTCTTCAGCGGCTGCTATGGCATCCTCAGTGAATGTATCTGCTTTGAACTTCTGCTTGTATTTTTCATACTTATCTGACAACTAAGAGGTTAGTCCTGGCTACATAATTTGCTCTGCAGCCTCATGGAATATGCTTCTTTGATACAGCGCACACCACATTGACAAACCAGGCATGATTTTCTAGTCCTGTTTCAATCTTTCTCACAGTGCCATTGAGATTTTTCTTAAAATCACAGTGGTGCCAGAATGGGATTGAGTTCAGTGTTATGGCTTCACTGGATGGTGATGAGCCAGTGCTGCAAATGTGGAAGTGGACCCAAACTAAGTTTGTTACATAAACCAGCTATGTTGTATCTGACATATGCCAGATCAGGTTTGTAGCTGTGTTTCCATCACCTACTGTTGAAAGAACTGGGGAGCTTGGGGTTTTGAATTAAGCTCTCAAGTGGTGTGCTTCTGCCCATGACTCAGATAGTCCGCCATTTTCATCAGTTACGCCATAGCCCCATTTGACACTGTGACTGTCAAACTCATTGATGATCACCGGGGTTTTGTCATGTTTGAGGTTGTGTGTGCTAGCAAACTTCAATCATTTGCCTGGTGGACTTGAGTGAAACAAAGGTGATCAGATTTACCAAGTGTCATGCTCTTACATTTGGTCAGTCAAATCTGACTGCATCTCAGGGGAAAAAAAACATGTATGTGAGTTTTCATATGTTCACAATGAGCTGCAAGCCATGAATCCAACTCTCAGTTCTTCCACTGACTGCAGTTTATATTTCTATTGCACTTTAGAATCTTTATCAATCAAGACCTCTTGGGAACGCAACTCTCATTTACCCATTTTACAGGTAAGAGAACAGACTTTGCACAAGGTCACTTCAGGCAATAGAAATCCAGTTTCTAACATCATCCATGTTGTTACTATACTGCCTTTCAGAAGGAATACATATTCCTGAATTACTTCGTATGGGCATTTACTGCGGAATAAGATCCACTTTTAGTTATCCAGGAATACCTATTGTGCTTTAAATTCACACACTACTTTAATCTGGATTAATTTTAAAGTATAGACAAGCTGAAAATCAATAGTAGAAATCTTAGGCTCTAGTTCTGCAACTGACTGAATTTGGGCACACTCCTGCACTTGAGCAGAGCTGCCCCGAACTCAAATTTCAATTGACTGGAGTCCATAGGGACTCTGAAAATCTTCAGGATCCATTAAAGGAGAAGGGAACAGACCATATGCTTCCACACAAGCCCCGAACCTTCTGCCCCATAGTGAACTCCTCTTCCCTTCTGTACTGGCAGGGAAATTTCATGGGGGAGATAAGGGTTCTTCTAGAAACAATAATACATCCCCAGGATATACTGCTGTTTCTAGAAAGAAATAAAAACTGAAGAAAGACAAGGACTTTAGGGAACCTTGGAGAAAGATGTAAAAGAAAAGAATAAGAGAAACAGAAACTATTGAAAAAAGAACTAATGCTCTTTCCTGCCTCAAATACATACTGAACTGCCTCAAGCACAGTCAACAGGCACATAAGCAAATCAGAAAAGACAAAAAAAGAAATATTAGATTAAAAAAGAGAGAGAGAAAGGGCAGCTATTAGGTGTGGGGTCATTCTAAATCTGGAATATCATATCATATACAAATACTAGCATTTTTTTAAATTAGTATGGATTAAAAAATGATGAAACTTGGATGCCAAGATAACTGCGGCCTATAGGCCCTACTGGCTAGCCCCCCATACCTAACCCAGACCCACAAGACTCCATTGAGAAGCGTAAGAGAATTTAAAAGCCTCCTTCATTTTTACCTCACAGTAACCAGAACAATTTTATTTCTTGCAAATCACAACAAAAATAGAATAGACCCCACCTAACATATTTCATGACAAATAAACTATTCATAATAGATTAATAAATCTATTAATAAATAATCGATTAATAAATTTATTACTTTGCATTGCCCATAAAAACAGTTAAAACCTACCTGTATTTCTAAATGAGCATTATTGCACTTTTAATGTTAACTAAAAACAAAAATGTAGCCAAATACCCTTTTTTCCCATCAAATATGCCTGCTGTATATCTCCCACATTGTTGAGACACCTACTTTTCAGGTAATAAATACAAAGCAAGTGAAGTACAGTATATCTTTTGAGATGAATTCTTGATGTGAGTGATTATAATTTTAACAGATGCTACATTGTTTGATGAAACATTTTAGATCCTGAATGAAGCGTCCTTGAAGACCAAGGATGAAAATAATGTCCTACATGTGCAAAATAAATCTGACTTCACAAGTACAATAGTTGTTTACTGCTATCCAGAGTGCTGTGCAGTGCAGTCATCACAGAGTTCATCAACAGACAATAGATGCTTATTCTTTTTCTTTGTAAAATAATTATCCCCTTCATATATTTTATTTGTATTAGGCCAAATCACACAGTCCTTACTTAACCCACTCAGGCCCAGGTTCTTCAGGGCCTTGCTAGTGGTGGATAGTAACTTACTCCATTGGTATTTACGTTGATATCAGTAAGGTACAATTTTAGCAGTAAGGTACTATTCAGTGTGAGTAAATGTGCACAATCTGGCATTTTGGCATAACTCCCATTGACTTCTGGGAATGATTAATTAACAAAGCCTCTATACGTAATAGAAAATATTCCATATCATATGGGAGCAAATGGTTTGACCTGATGATTTGAAGTAGGAGCATTCATTAAAGAACACATATGAAATTGTATTAATAATGTGAGAAAAAGGAATGCAATTGGACTGTAAAAGTTGAGTATCTTAAAGAGAATTAATGGGTATGAAAACAATGTTGGCTTCTTTGCTGCCATGCCTGCACACCCTAACTCACATTAGTTATCTATGCTTATGGAAGCTGTTCAGTTGACTTCAGTGGGACTGCTTACTACCATGAATAAGGATTACTGTGATTAACACGGATTTATGGGATTGGGCCCTTATTGAATATATTCATAGTTTTCTGTCATTTTTCATCATCCAAATGTTCATAATAAAAGAAGTGTTGGTATTACCAGAAAAAAAACGAAGGTTTAGTATTTAGAAATATGTCATTTCCTGCAATACATTTCGATTTCACAGTTGTTTCTTTAAGGTCCACTGAAATATCCCATTGAACAAATGGAAAAATCACCAAGCTGTTTTATTAAACCTTTTGTTTCATTTGCTTTTAACTGGACTGCAATCTCTTATACATTTCAATAGTCTTTAAGGCATGCAAGTAGTCTGATACCAATGATGAAGCCAACAAGTCTGCCTTCCTGAGCAAGAGCTAATCACATAAGAATCTGCAGGATCAGGCCCTATTTTTCTGTTTTTAAATTAGCTGTTTTTTTAACCAAAAGTGTTAAAAATAAAGGTACTTTAAAATTAGTAGCAAATACTGTTTTGAGCAAAAGTCACAAGGAAAGCACTTCAGGCCATATTAGATAAACTTTTCGCACAGGAGTAAAGCCATAAAACTACTAAACTTTTTGGTCTTTTAATTGTTTGAATAACAGTTTTTCCTTTTTCATTACTTTGTATGAGTTCTTAATTAACATAAAAAAGTATTACTAGTGATAACTGGTGAAGCCTTGGCAATAGGATCCCATATGCAAATTGCTGGTTATTGATGTTGTTTGCAGTGTTGCTGTAGCCACATTGGCCCCAGGCTATTATAGAGACAAGGTGGGTGAGGTAATACCTTTTACTGTACCAAGTTCTGTTGGTGAAAGAGGCATGCTTTTGAGCTTACATATAGCTGTCATTCAGGTCTGAAGAGCTCTGTGGCAAAAATGTTCAGAAGTGATTTGAAATTTGGAGTGCTCTCATTTTAAGGGTGTCCTGCAGCCCATGGGTACACAAGGCTGTTGTAAGTGCCTAAAATGAATGGGATTGTTATGTGGATTAATTTATATATTTCACCTTCCCATTCCCACTTCCTGGGCCCTGCACTTCACCTGCTTTTTATCTTCATAATCAGGATTTATGCAGGTGAAATGCATTTCTAGGATGCTATAGACACACTTTTCAAAAGTGACTAGTGATTTCAGTGCCCACCCTGACACATGATTTTAACGAACATGATTTTCAGAAAGCGCAGTATTTCCATCCTCTGAAAACCAAGCCCTTTTAAGGTATCTTCGATTGGGCACCCAAAAATGGAAGCACTCCTAATTTCAAATCACTTCTGAACATTTTTGCTATATCACTATTAAGTTACAGATGTTACAAATAGGGTAACTGTCACAACATCAACAAGGTGGGTAATGTAATACATTTTATTGGACTGACTTCTGTCGGTGATAGAGACAAGCTGTTGAGCTTACACAGAGCTCTTCAGACCTGAATGACGGCTCTATGTAAGCTCAAAAGCTTGTCTCTTTCACCAACAGAAGTTGGTACAATAAAAGGTATTACCTCACCCACCTTGTCTCTTTAACAGCCTGGGACCAGCATCTCCCCATGTCACCTTCATAGGTACCAAAAAGAAAGGACTATTGTGCTCATTTAGTCTGACCTTCTGCATAACCCAGACCATAGAATTTTACCCAATAGTTCTTCTGTCTAACCCAAAAACTGGTGGCATATTTTTTACATATGTTGCACCCACCACATTCATGAGAATGTGGATCCACTGGCTTTTCCTCAATTTTAGCCCTTTTCTTGGCCATTTCACAGCCCTTTACAATGCATATGCAGAGATCCCTTTCACAACACACGGGGGTGGGGTGGGGTGGGGGTGGGGGTGGGAGTTATAAGGCCGTGAAGTTCCCCTGTGCAGCACCTACACTAAGCTTCAGTTCTGGAAAGGGCCTTTGGACTTGCCCTCCATGCCTGACTGCATTTCACTCATAAAATAGTATCAAAATTAACAAAAGAAAAACAATGTTCTAAATAGCACCTTAATCATGATATGCTAAGAGAATTACAAGCATGAAAGTCACATGGAAGGGCATTCCAACAGCTTGGAGTCAGATGGCTGAAAGCAAAATTGCACTGAACACAGAAGGTATGACAAACAATAGCTCAAACATATACCATAATACACAAGCAGGAATATAAGCATAGACCCAATAACTTAGATATGAGGTCACTGAAATACACAATTAAATGAATGAATATTATTCACTTTTGGAAAGGAAAGACTGGACCAGATCTTGCTTTTCTTACTCAGGTAAGTGACTGCAAGTAAGTAATATGAGCAGGATTTAGCCCAGTATTCATTGTTTATTTGCTTTTATATATATCTTTTCCCCTTAAGTCCTTTTGTAGGATGTGTGCTCCTGATACATATGACTTGAGAAATAGCTATGAGATGATGAAGGTATACTGTGTGGCTTTTAAATTATATGAAAATCTAAAGTATACTATGCAACAGTGCTTCCATATTTTCTTTAGGGGGCAGCAACAGACTGAATCTCATATACTGATGCCTAAAATGTAGTGATGTTTCAAGAAAGTTATCTGTATACTAAAGAGGAATATTCTCTTAATAATACATTAACATTATTTAACAGGAACTAGAGAGTCAATAGAATATGAACAATGACTCTCCCCTCCTAAAAAAAAAAAGTCCAGCCAGAACTAGTCCTTTTCTTCAATGAAGTGAAAGACTCGTTCAATTTGCTCAGCGTGGGAGTCTTTGTCATTTTAACTGGATGGCACAATAGATATTGATAAAAATAAAAGTCTTTTAACATAATAAAAATGCAAGACAATACCAAGAAAGTGTCTTGTCTGTCAGCAATGGCTATTAAAAATGTATTAAAACATGCATTCAGCTCTTTTATTTCCTAAAAAATAAAAAGTCTGGTAAGTGCTTACA